ACAGTAGAAAGACAAAAATGGTTTCTTGGTTTTGCCAAAATACAATTTCTGGTGTGGTCACAAAGTATTTATGGAGAGAAGTAATTATAGACAGGGGTGGTAGTTTTTAATTTACACCTACTACAGACAGGTCTGAGCTGCTACAGAGAACCAAAGTCATTGTGCCCTGGCCATGTGATTGTATGGGATCTCTGGTCCTGACACGTCTCCATGGAGGTAAACGTGTACATTTACATTCACAGAACTTATGTACACTAAGACTAATTTGTTCTTTCAAGCAGCCACCGTGTGGTGCTGAGAAATCCGTGGGAAGCAGTGCCTGGGGGAGGGCTGCATGCACAGCTATGAAATGCCTGACCCTGGGCTCCAACAAGGTCTCATTATACCCAAATAAATGTCTTTCAGACCCTTAAGAGAGCTCAAAGGGAAACTATTAAGAAAGTGAAGTTATTGTAGACACTTTCGATACCAAATTTACATATTGTTACTAATGAAGAATTATTTCTTCCTAGAGCACATTAATTTACATGAGTCCAAAACTTAGTATTTCTTTTTCCATGTCATATGTGGAGAAGTCAGGCTTCATTACTTTTGAAATATGGTAATTACTATGGTGATGGCTTCATGCAAAATTCCAGAAAAATCATCAAAATTACAATAAATTTCTATGGGCTAAAAGAAGCAGAACTGTTTGCTGAAATGCAGGCCAGATAAGAACAAATCTGAATAATAAAATAGAGCTCATAACAGCTGAAGTTATTATACATATAATGACTGGACATGGGTCTCAGTGCTCTGGGCTGGGTGACAAGGTAGGGACAGGTCATAGGTTGGACTCGATGCTACTGGAGGTCTTTTTCAACCTAAATGATTCTGTGATTCCCTTTGCCCTAACCCAGGAAAATGTATGAAATGTGAGATTAAAAATAATTGGATTCTGCAGAAATCCTTTATTTATCACTGCCCGCAGGAAAGAGGGGCTAGAGTCAAAACCTTTTTTTTCAGCAGAGTATTTATCTGTAGGGGAAATTACTACCAAGTGTTCAAAGTCTCTCTTGATCCTCAGGCTACCTCAAGTGATGATGTCAAGTTTTGGCACTGAGGGCTTCAGAGAGATGCAGGAAACACGTCTGGGGGAGTGGCTTTGAAGCAGGCTCAGAGGGGCTGACACAAAATAGAAAATAAATCACGTCAAGCCTTGATCACGCAAACTCCAACATCAGCAGGAAAATTCCTGTTGACTTCAGACATGAGAAGGATCAGCACTTCAACAATGAAGCCCCAAAAGAAAAATCAGTAATTCTAAAAGAAAAACAGAGTGCTCCCTAATTTGTTTAGAAATCCAGTGATCAGGGTAGGGAATTTTGGTTTTGTTTTTAAACATAATTTCTTGCATTGTTGTTTCAATGGAAAGGATCCTCTAAGAAGCACAGTCTTATTTCTGAGATCAAATCTTTATTTGAATAAGGAAAAAAAAAAATCATTCTTGCCATCCATGAAAAATGTTCCTGCTTGTTCACTGACAGCACCAACACACATGGACTGACCCATCACATTTTCTTTTAAGATATTCTCTCTCTTGGAAATACAAGTGGTGAGTCAGTTGTTATGGTAACTATTTTTCTTTTTTTTTCTTTTTTTTTTTAACTAACATATGACAGCCTGTGTGTCATCTGATGCTGTTCCTGAATTCAGTTACACACTCACTTTTGTCAAATAGTCTAAAAAAGGGCTTCTTGGATGAAGAAATCGTAGGGAGAAAACAGGATATTTTTCCCCATGCACATGGTTTTAAACCATGAAACCACTGATTATGTGATTAAATTTATGCAGCCAGTCAACTTTTTCTAGTTCAGAGCTATGACATGATGACGTAAAGAGTAGCTCTCATTTGTCACCTTTTTTATTAAACAGGCTGCTGATGATTCCATGTGCTCCACTCTTGGAAATCCAGTCTTGTTTGCCCTGTCTCCTGGTTAGGCAGTCATTTGAACATCTATCTGAGCTGTGATCTGCTTCACTGACCAACTATAATTATCAGTGATTACATCACCTGAGTGGATTTGGTTTCCCACTCAAGTCCAGTGTTATCAGTTATATACACTGATATTGCAAAATGTAATTGGTACTGGAATACTCACAACTGTAAAAAAAAGAAAGGATCTGTTTGGTCCTAATGAACATTCAGCAAAAAAAAATCAATTAGAGATTTAGCTTTTAATGGAACTCAGTGGAGATAGTGGGTGAAGGATGAAAAAACATCCAATGCTGATAAGTTTGAAAAAGATGGCAGAATACTTAAGGACAATTCTTGGACCTAAAAACAGTAGGAGGCAAAACTGGAACTTTTTACAGCTCCAACCTCCTGAACAATGACCCAGTGATGTGTTTGAGTTGGCTGCACACCCCAGCTCCGTGCATTCCCAGACCTGGTTTCAATTGCAAGCTTGTTACTCAGTCTTGTAAATTCCCGTAAATCTGAGACACATAGGACCAGAACATTCTTCAATCCAGAAAAATGAAAAATATTTTCGCTGATGCAGCAGAAATGTGATGATATGGAGCAAATGCAAACCAGAAGGATCACAGTGATCTGGACAAGCAACAATATTATGTCACTGCAATCAGTGCCTAGGAATTGTTTTCTTTATTACACTGAGATATCTTGTAATAACATCAAGAATCTGGAGGAGAACATTCCTCACCATGCACGCATTGCTTCCATCAGTGTGGCAAACTGAAATAACCAAAATTACTGCTCTAAGTCTGTTTAGCAATGGATCTCATCCTACTTCAAGCAGCCTTGGAAAATAATCAATACCTTAACAAAAAATGCCAAAGTACATCACGAGTGGTAAGAAAAAGGAAAAAAAAGAAAAGAAAAAACCTAAAGAGCTGCAATTGGAGGTCACTTGTTTGGCCAACAGCATGAAACTACCAGAAATTAATTTATAAGCATTAAGACATGTTATTTAGTAGTGACAAAAGAGGCTTTCCCATCAAATAACATCAAAAACATCTTCCATGGGCTTGGATCTCATTACCTATTAGAAATATGAAAACCATCCATATTTAAACTATAGCTACACAGATATTATTACTAAACAGCAAAGCCTCTTGGAACTCTTTCACTGACAGTTCATCAATATTGGATGAAACTGGATGATTCTCCATCACTGAATGATTATATCCATACCACAGGCAGTGGTGTGTGAATGCCTAGAGGATCTCATCATTTACCCATCAGCAGAGGTTTATTCCCAAGGTATTTTGAGAGTTAGCCAACATTTCTCTCCAAAAGCAGAGATGAGAAGATCAGAAGGGAAATCAGTACAGCAATGCCCAGAGAAAAGATCTTTGAATAGATTTGAATAGAACATTGTGTTCATTCTTCTTTTTCCTTTCTCCTTCCCTCCTTTTCTTCAAGTCCCCCAGGTGTCTTGCCCACTCTTTCTGCCCCTCCAGCCTCACTTAGTGCCAATTTTCCCAATGGCCCTGGCCAAACTGAACTCAATGATTAGTAAGCTCTGAAAAGCCCCAAAGTTTGCCTGCCATGAACACTCAGAAAGGGCAAAACACAATCACATGCACAGTAACACACCCCCGAGCAGTGACACCAACACCAGAAATAGTTGAGTGCCCGTAAGAACAGGATGACTCCAATCCCCAAAACAATCTTTAGCTCAGTGAACTATGCAAAACAATGACTGGGTTTTGTTTTGAAGTCCTAATATTTAAAGCCAAACACATTTTCTACATTTTCTCTCCAATGTCATCTTTCCAAAAACACCAAACTGCCTCCTCCTAAAGTGCTCTTTTTCTGTTGCAACATATGGTGCCCCATCCAGAGAGTCACAAGATATTTTGTTTCTAATTGATTAAATTCATGAGTCACACGCAGGATTTGCACAGAGGTTGCAAATCAACTGGTTGTTTTTCAGGGCTTCCACACAGTAACACAGGTGGGACAGTCACCTCTGCAGCCACAGCTACCAAAAACCTCCTCAGAAGCATCAAATTTGAAACATAAAATCAAAATCTTCTGATTTTATTTCATAGCCAGGAGGATTTTGTGGGGGTTTCCCCCCCACCACCCCAAGCTTTCTGTTGTAACTAGGGCATCAAGAGAAAGTGTAATGTATCCAGTGTTATGGTTTGGGAATTCCAATGTTACAAATCCCACAATATAAATAAATGAAACCCAAATCCACCACCTTTAGAACCTTAAAAAAATCAGCCAAATCATGTGTTTCCAAAGGAAAAGTGATTTTTTAGCACTCAACTTCTCACTGCCGGAGTAGCAGTGCTAGAACTTGTTACTCCAGCACCAAAGTAATTCCCAGGTTAAAAAGGCTGTTCAATCACCACAAATTACTGATCAGACAGAATATTAAATCACAGAAAAAAATTAAACATTTCTGCCTTCACCATCTGTTTGAATAATTTGTAAAATGTGAAAATGGTTTTGCATGGACATAAAAGCCTACATGCCTGAATATTCCTGATTTTCCCTGAAAGTAGAACTCCCACAGTTTAAGGTCATGTAGTTGCTGTATTTATGGGACCATTTCACATGCCAAAGTTGTTACTGAAAGTACTAGCAGTGTTTCTGAATATCAGTGAAGGGTATAAAGTCTGGGGTCCAGATTTAAGTGTTAGGCCCTATTTAATTCTTGGTAAATGAATTAAGACTGCAGAAATTATTAACTTGAACTTTTTTGATCTTATTGCACACCACTGTGTTTTGCCTGAATAAAATAACTGAGCAGAAACCCCAGAGGGAACGATTTCTCCTACAGAATGAAATCAATGTCAAAAAATTACTTTGTTTGTATTTATTACGAGGAATTCAGCAGTCTGCTAAAAAAAGCCCTGCCTGTTTGTATTACAAAGGCTGTTTCTTATACTCTCAAGTTATTTTACTGCGATGCAAAGATACTTTTTTATTTTTCAGTTAACTAGAAAGCTGAGCAGTCGACTAATCCATTATCTTTACTCACCATGCTGGCTGCTCGAAGCATCTCCTGCTCTATATTGGGTGTCAGACCCAGATTCCGGCTCTGTCTCCCTTAGGGAATGGCAAATCAGCCAGTGTAAATCCAGAATTGCTAATGACAGAAACAGGAGATTTCAGTTCCCAGCTTCCAGATGCAACATATGTCAAAAGATAGCTTATACACTCAGAGCCAGGGAGAGAAAACAGTTTTGACATTTTTGTTTGTTTGTGCTGATGGCTTTTAAATCTTAATTAAGCCCAAATATAAGGAAAAAATTCACCATGACATCCATTAGGTGCTCAGTATATTAAATTTACAGCAGGATATCCAGCAGAAAACATACATTAAGCATCATATTGAGAACTACCTCTCCAACAACTTAAATCTATTAGATTGTGTCAGACTGGAGATGGAGCTGACAAATGGGAATTTAGAATTCATTTAGGTCTTCTTGTGTTTTCCAAGTCTTTTGAAATGCTGCATGAACTTAAAGCAGTTAACTTTCCTAATAAACAAAGAATCAAGTTTCACAGCTTCAAAGAAATATTTCACTGTAGGGTCTATTTAATCTGGTTCTGTACTTCAAATAATTATTGTAGAGTATTTACAATTCTGACATCAGCTATTATCCTTGACAAGGAAAAAAAAAGAACAACATTGCTATAAAATACAGGGAGAAACCTAATGCTGGGTGAGATTTTTGAAACAAGTTTTGGTGAGCTTTAAAGGTTCCTGGCTTCTTAAAAGTACTGATACATCCAGCAGTTTCCAGGGACTTCAATACTTCAGAAACCAATGATTAATTTAGGTCCACAAATCAGTGTTTAGAAGAATGATTTTTATGGTCCTAATTATTGAAGAGAAAACTTGCTGTAATTCTTTGAGACTCCTTCCTTGATCTGGAAACCACCAACTGGGGCTTGGGAGAGCAGTGAAAAACCTGAACTCGTTAAAGGCTGAAAATTATACTATAAAGGTACATTTGACAATCACAAAAACACCTCAGCATCCAAAAAAGTTATTTTCTACCATTTTTGTTGTATAACACTTTTATACAGTTGCTGTAATTTATGACGTTGGCAAATTAACTACCTGATTTTAGAATATTGCATTTCTACAATAATCACAGGAAACACATAAAGAAATTGGCTCTTCCCCACACCTTGTACACAGGATTTAACTGTTTTCCTCTGTTTCTTCCAAATAACTCAAAGCTGGTAGCAGAACTCGATGGAATTTGGTGGCTTTTGATGCCGCCCCGGATTTCCAGACCATGACCATGCACAGCTGATCACCAAAAAAAAAACAACAAATAAATAACCAGTTATAAACTGTATAGTCACTTTCTCTTACTGTTACTGTGCCACAATGTTACAAGTTCAGGTAAAGTTTTTAAATCTGAGTATAAAAGACTTTTACTGTACTTTTTACTCAAAAAGACAACAGAACTCTCTATTTTGGCCAACAGCATAAAATAGAGGAAAGTCAGTGGCTGATGATGATGAAGGGTAAAATTAAGAAGGTTAAAAATTATGACTCAGATGAAAGAAAATCTCAACCAAATCTGAGTTCATTGAATGGAATGCCCCACTGGAGCTTAATTTGTTATATCCTTCGTAGCCTTTGTGGTGGGTTGCCCAAGGCTGGCTGCCAGGTGCCCACCCAGCTCTGCTCTCATTCCCTCTTCTCAACAGCAGGGAGGAAAATGAGATGAAAAGGCTCATGGTCAAAATGAAGACATGGAGAACATCTACTGATTGCCACCATGGTCAAAACAGACTCAGGGAAATTATTTATTACAAATTAAATTATACTCGGACAGTCTTCCTGCCCAACTCAGGCCCTTTTTTCTCACCCTCACCTAATTCCTTCATCCTCTCCCCACAGAGTGGTGCAGGGGATGAGGAATGGGGGGTTGTGGCCAGTCCATGACATTCCCTCTCTGGTGCTCCCTCCTCCTTGCACGTTCCCTGCTGCAGCAGAGCTCCTCCACAAGCCAGAATCCCACAGGAGAACCTGCTCCTGCTCCTGCCTGGGCTTTCCCTGGGCTGCATTTCCTCCAGGACACCAAATACCTGCTCCACACGGCTTCTTGCAAACCTTCCACGGGCTGCAGGCGGAAGATGTGCTTTGACACCTGGTGAACTGCCTTCCCCTCACCTCAGCCTCCCCAGGGTTGTTTTTTGCTCTTTTTCCCCCCAGATCCTCTCTGGTGTGCAGTGGTAAAGCGAACCTATCTTCCCAGAGAGATGGAAAGAAGACACAAATTCATTTCCTTAAAGGCAGTTTCTTCACAAAAGCCAAGCTATCTTTCTGCCTGAAATAATTATCTAGATGTTTAAACTGAAGTCCTGTCAATAACCTCAACTTCCACAAAAATGCATTTTAAAAAGATTAAAAGAAAACAATGAAGTTTTTGCAATAAACAGGAATATCATGCTTTCTTAATGCAGAATGTAAATGATTGCACTGCTGAGAAAAGGGAAAATTAAGTCTTCTAAGTACCCAATGAACAGGAGTGGAACAAATTTTCTCTCTTCAAATATATCCTTATAGTAATCTGAAGAGAATACTCCCATGATTGTGTAGCGATTTCTTCAAGACCTACTCAATTCCTTATTGTTCAGCTTACAGTGCCAGAAAAAAGGGCCTGTTAAAGTTAACATCTGCTAACTAATCATGGAACAGGCCATCCCAACATTCCACAGGGTTTGAACATTGCTATGAATTTTGATTACTATCAACTTTGGCTGGATTAAAGAAGCACTTTACTGTGAGACTTTTGAAACCTACAAAATCTTGTTCTTTTAGAGGAAATGCTTCTAAAAAGAAACATTTTCATTCTGGGTTCAGAATGTATGACCTAGCATTGTAAGCATGCTAGTATTAAAGGTAGAAATAAATCAAACTGGTGAAGTATATTCCTCTGAATTTTTTGTTAAATATTTCATTTTAGAAGTGTTAACATCCCACAGTAGATTCTGACATGCAAATATTATTTGGATAGGCTGCTGTACAGATTGGTTCTTCTGAGTTCCACTCGGTGTGTTTTGCTTGCCTGACACTGAGAGTACATCCATATTTGCTGGATTCCCAGGTTTTGGGATCATTTTCTTTGAGGTGATACATTCATATCTGAGTGAGGCAATCCAAGATGTACTTCTGAGCACCTCTTGCCCAGCTCTGGTTGGAGCTGTGTGAGCTGTGCAAACAGAACCTCCCCAGGAGTCAATTGGATTAGACAAGCTTTCCATGAAGAAGCCATGGATTCCATATCTCTGCATTAGGATAGGATTCATTTGTGCTCTCTGCTTGACAAATTACAACCTGCTGAGCAATCCTTTACTGTCTCCAGTGCATAATGTGTAATTTACACTAACTGGGATTATTCTCTGACAAACACAAACTATGCATGCACATTCAGCGCCTGTTTTTTTTTTTTTTTCCTATTTTTCTAACTTTTTGATTCCAAAGTACTTTCCTTTTAAAATTAAAAACTGACAGTATTAAAAGCAAAAACCACTTCCTCATCACAAGAATAAAAATTCATTGGAAGAATATTGTGGTGGACCATGAATGCCACAACTGGACACCTCACTGTACTTCTGCATTTAATTGGAATGAAAGTCTCTCCTCTCAGGAAAGGTCTCTGTCCCTCTTGCTCCAGAGAGCTTTGTGTTCTGGGAGAGCTGAGCACCCAGAGGATGCCAAACACACCAGTCAGATCATATCCATCAAAAGAGGCACAGCCAAAGCATTATGTCAGAACCCTGTCAGTAACTGGGAGCACAATGAAGGGACGTCCCAGGCACTGAGCCCGTCACAGGTGTCACCTCCACAATCGACCACAGCGCCCCGTCCATCCAACACGTCATTTCTCCCCTGCCCCTTGAACAGAAATACACACAGAACTTAAATTTCGACAACACCACAGCTAAATTATAAAGAAGGGATTATTTCAGCCAATTTTCAATAGTAAAGTGGGTGGTCCTCAGGACTTTTTATAAATACCCTTCCAACATCTGTGTGAAAAGTTGAATAGGAGACCACACAACAACCAAGGATTATGTGGCACTGCTCTAAAGGGGAAAGGGAGGAGAATCAAACATTTCTTGCCCAAGGTTTGTTACTGTGGGATACTATTATGTGAAGCCCTTCAGTTCATACAGAACATCGCATTAAATTACATGGCAAGAATGAATAACTGCTTTGTCGCATACAGAATCACACATTATTTTGCTTTTTAAAGATTGTGAAAAGTGAAATAGTGTACCAAACTCCATTCCAAAAAGCTTTGGTTATTTAAATCCAGTTTTCATTTCACCCAAGGTATTCCTTTTGCATAGAAGTTTAAAGGTTCCTAAGGCTGCAAAGCCAAATACCACAGAAGTTTAGATATGTGCCAATTAAGTTTCCAGCAATGTTAAAACTGGACACGTAACTGTGCAGCTCAGTCTGACGTCATCATGAACACACAGCCACCATTTTAATGACATTAACTGGCAGCACAGCCAGCCAGGACAGGAGAGGTCATGGTCAGGAATACTGGTTTCAGTTCTGGCTGGGAGAAGAAAGTATAGGATTGTATATTAGGGGACAATTCTGTTCCAAGATACATGTAAAAATCAGAGCTGGCACTGAAATTTAGTGTGAATTGTTCCATTATTGGAAGACTTTAGAGTCACAAATGAGATGGAAATAATCAGACAATGGTCAAAGTGCAGTCAAAAGTCCAGGTATGGGAAATAAAACAGCTCAGTAATAATTCACTGGTTTAACGCAGTACTAAATCCTGTTTAGCCATCAGGCAACATTTTTCCAATCTCAGAGTGCATAAGGAACTAGATATAAGAATATTTAAAACCTAAAATTATCATTCTTCCATTAAGTTGTATATTTGGCTTTTGGCTTTTTATGTGATAACGGCAGAGGTACCACAAGAAGGTCTCCTACAATTCTCAAATGTGTGTGAACCCAGCTGAAGCTCCAGATGGATTTAGTAGCCAAAGGTGCAGCTTGGTTTACACCTCTAGCAGTTACAGGTGTGCTGAAATGACAACAAAGACAAGGCACTTCTTTAGAAACACACTCCTGATGCCACGTGCTCTGCTCTTCCCTTGCTATCCCCCCAAAGCACGGGATGTTTTCCTCAGCAGTTACCCCAGAATAGCTGCACTGATGTACACTCATGTACAAAATCACTGCAACTCATGTGTACAAAATCTCTACAAGCAACAACTCAAGTTCCAGGCTCCACTGGCAGCTCCCAACCTCCTCTGCTGTAGGGGAAGGACCTCCAAAGAGCCGCCAGCCAGTCATACTCCTGGATGGACAGAACAACTGGAAGATCTAGAAAAGACTCACTGTCACTGGAACTGCATCTAATTTATAATCTGAAATCCCAGGGGCCTTCATCTTGCATCGTGCAATGGGATGCAGCCGAGTTCTGCCTCCTGCAGGGAGGGAAGAGGCCAGGGGATATAAAATATGCCACCTTTCCCAGAGCTTCCTTATCACTACCTGTGAAGCATTGTGCCTGCTTTCAATCACTTCTGCTGATTGCCTACTATTAATGTCACTCATTCTTTTAAGCAATTAAGCCACCTCTTTCTTAGATGTGCCTTTGTCTCTCCCTGGCACATTTCCTTGTCTAATCCTCTTTTCCAGATGGCATAAGGACGCGAGATAAGTGTTGCTAAAAGTTGCTTAGCAATGCAACACATGCAAGGTTTGGAAATGCTGACGTCCACACAAGCACTATCTCTACATCACACATTTCTGCAGAGAAACAAAGGCGTGAACACCCGCAGTGACACAGGGGCCTCCAGAAAAAGAGCCACCGGTGCCCAGAGGGAGCAGGGAGAGGGAAAAAGGGAAAGCTCCAAGCTCCCAGTGATGGGATGAGTTAAACTGCAGGGATTTTCTTTGTGTTTGGTTTGGATTTTAAGGCAGAATTCGAAATTCTGCTTTAAAACACATAAAACCCTTGTGTTTTAGCAAGGCCCTGTGTTTTCTGTGATTCAGAGATACAGGATGCCACAGACACAAAGTCACTACAAGGGGCTGCTAGAGGCCACACCAGAAATGGATGCTCCATCCCTGGAAGTGTCCAAGGCAAGGCTGGACAGGGCTTGGAGCACCCTGGGATAGTGGAAGGTGTCCCTGCCTGTGCCAGGGGTGGAACTGGATGGCCTTGGAGTGGCTCCCAACCCAAACCAGTCTCTGTGCTGTGCCTGGTTCATGACAAACAGGAACTGATAAAAACAAAGCTGTTTATCATCCC